CTTCTTTTTCTTGTTGCTCCTCCCCATCCTTGCTTGTTGCCTTCTTCGCCACTTCTTCTAATTGTCTTCCATTCCTCAAACTGACGGCTTTGTTCGTTGGTGCCTTTTCGAGGGTCCTCCGTATTTGACGGTAGTGTACCGGCTGGCCTCGCGTTCAATTGGGTTGCAAATTGGCCCATCTGTGTTTCCAAATTTCGAATGGATGCTTGGGTGGTCGTCATAAATTGGGCCAAGATATTTGCGAGGTCTCCGCCTTGAGGTGGTGCTTGAGGTGGATTTTGGAATCCGGGCGCTGGTCGTGAATAATTAGGCGGTTGGCCTTGAGGGGGTGCTTGCCTTTGTCCCTGCTGATTTCCTCCCCACCCAAAATTAGGGTGATCCTTCGATCCCGGATTATACGTGTTGGAGTACGGGTTCCTCTGTTGTCGGTTGGCGTCATGCACGTAATTTAGTGACTCCGTTTCGTCTACGCTTTGATCGGGAGCTTGGACTGCATGGACTTGCTGAGTCTGCAAAGCCGCGACTTGCTTCGATAGCTTCTCCAATTGGGCCGTGATTGCAGTGACTCCGTCTAACTCCAAAATTCCCCCCGTCTTGACTGCTCCGCTATTCGACCGATCCGATGCTCGCATGTATTTATTCCTAGCGATTCGTTCCAAGAGCTCGTATGCTTCGTCGTAGGTCAAACTCACGAACATACCTCCAGCTGCAGAGTCGAGCACTGTCCTCGAGTTGTCTTGCAGTCCATCGTAAAATATTTGCAGTTGGCGCCACTCTTGTAGTCCGTGATTCAGGCACCTTCTTACTAACTGTTTGAACCGCTCCCATGTCTCGAATAATGCTTCACCGGCTTCTTGTATGAAGTTTTGAATTTCTCGCCGGATTCTCTCAGTTTTTGTTGGGGAGTTGTATGTGTTCATGAAAAGTTGAGCTAGCTGGGCCAACGACGAGATGGAGTGCGGTGCACGAGTTTGCAACCATTCTCGGGTTTGAGCTAGCTGTTTGTATAAATTGTATTTTGTTTGATGAGGGGTATTTTAGTACTTTGCTAATAAAAAAATTATTTGTGGTATTAAACTATGAAAAAATTGTAAAAACTTCTATAAAAAATGGTTTAAAACTTAGTGGTATTGAAGTGAGAAAAATTTGGTATTAGTGTTAGTTGCCCCTTACTTAATTCATTATTATGTAATAAGTAACTTTTAGAGTAAATAGTATTTGACCTTATGTGGTTACAAGCTTTTACAGATGACCCCCTTACAATTGGTAGGAATAGCTTCTGCTAATTTTTCCGTCAAAATTAGCCAAGCGTGTAAAGTTGCTGATCCATTCATTTATAGGTTAGAAAATAAAGTTGATGGTTTATCTTCAACAACACATAAAATTGAGCAAACTCTCTATATCAGCAATAAGATGATATTAAAAATTAGACAGAGCATTGGACATCAATTAATGTGAGTATATTTTATGAATCAAAAACAAGACCTTCGCTACGAACAAATCACTGTATTGAAGACTAAAGTCCGATCTCTATTAGAGCTCTTTGGAGAGCTCCGAGGCTGGGGAAGAGAGAGCCCGAGGGGGGGGGGGGGGGGGGGGGCAACGCTCCGGCCTGCATCTTCTCTCCCATGGGTTCGTCTGGTCGAGAACGGATACAGCCCAGAGAAATTCCGTACATTATTAGTTATTAACTGTATGACATTCGAAAAATAAAAAATGTTGTATCATTATGATTCAATAAAAGTTGTATAATTGTGATTCTTTAGAAGTTGTTTTTGAAATTCCTTAATTTTTTTGAAGTGTTTATACATTGTAGTTGATACGGACTTGATTGCCCAAATACCCAAATAATAAAATGCTACGATGAAGCCCAAATACAACCAAAGATGGATGCTCCAAAACGGCTTATCTACACTCCATAAAGCTCCACGTGGTATAGACACTGATGGATGTGACCAAATTTTGGCTGTGACACAAAGATAGAAAACCTGCAAAATGACATAAACTGCGGAATGGACCGCCTGTGATTTAAAAGAAAGCAATCACATCTGCGAGCCCTCCTTGTTTAAACTGACCCAAATCGTAAGGAACGGGACAACTCGTCTTCAGCAAACAAGTAGTAAAGTAGACTCGTGAGAGATTCACTATATGTAAGTGTCGCTGCGTTATAAGCCTATTATTCATAAAAGATTCACTATATGTCTATGCAAACCTAGTACAAATAAAGCATTAAATAACAAGTCTCGTAAACGGCTACCTAAGGTATTATATGTATGTCTACGATAATACATGCAATCAACACACGCATTCGGTGAAAAACTACTCGAAGGCTCTTCTATCCCTATTCTAATTATTAAAACGATCTGTCAATCAATTCTAACAATAACAAATAGCAACATAAATTAGCTACGTTCATGCGCTAAATAAGATCAAGATAGAAGAAATAATCGAAGAATTAAACTTGCATAAAAGTAGAAAAATAGGTTCGAATTACCACATAGGGTTCCAACAAAATCCTAGAATAAAAACTTAGCTACTCATGCTCGTTACGAAAAACATCATAAAAATACGAAAAATCATAAAAACTAATAAAAGAGGAGAACTATGATGAAGAGTCGTCAATTCTTCGTCTTCGTTCTTGAGCTCCTTGATTGCGTGTAGAAAGATGAAAAAAATAAAAACTAAAAATAAAGATAAAAGGTAAAAGGTTAAAAGATATCTCTAATTGTGTGCTTGTGGCCTTTAAATAGGGTGCAAAAATATAATAGGGCGGGTTTCCTTGTGTAATTAAAATTCCTTCACTGCGCCAATACGTTCTTCCGGACGGCCGTACGAGAATAAGCTTTAAAATCCGGACGGCCGTCCGGTCTTCAATTCTTCAGAATTCTGATTTTTTCACTTTTGGCCCACTTTTTCTCCGAATTTGCAGTTTTCACCCCATAAGTTGCCAATTCTTCAATTTGCACCTAAAATACAAATAATAGCCATTTTAAGCACCAATTATCATTAAAACAAACCAAAAGCTCAAATTAAAAGGTACAATTAAGTGTATAAATATACACGTAACAGTATGCGAGGTAGTGCAGGCGTGAATGAAGGAGTTAATGTTCCGGACGAGCTGATAAGAGCTAATGCCGAGATGGATGAAGGAGTTGATGATTTGAATGAGCCGCATGTGTCTAGAGGACCAATTATGCGAGCTAGTGCCAAGCGGATTGAAGCAACCATGCCTAACTTAGTGAAAGAGAAGCTCAGAAAGGGACAACTAATGACGCATAGTTCGGTTTCAGTCGAGTTCAATTAAAGCAAACTGTCAGAGCAGGCCGCGAGGCAACCAATCTCAAAGACTTGAGCACGTCTAATCATCAAGCCAAGAAAACGTGATTAGGAACCCAATATTATTATTTATTTTTGTATTTTAAAAAAGACAATTTATTATTTATGGTTAAGTGGATGTTTTGAATTAATCCCCGTGGAACCCTAATATCGTTAGTCTCACCGCCTGTCAAGTATTTGGCATGCCGCCGGAAGGTTTTCCGGCAAAGGGAGATCCGCCCTTGCCGGATTCGCAATCCTTACCAAACTCACAGCCGCAGAAGCAGTCCTTTGCAGCATTGGTGTCCAAACAAGCGGAGCCTATTAAACCTAGGTTGCAAACGGTCCATTTGGCGAATCGTCAAGCTTTAGTTATTGATTCTCCTCGGTGGAGATGGAGCAGTTAAATAAGCAATGCGAAAATACACTTATTATGAAATTTTCGGCGGGCCGCCCAAGTTTGTTTGAAATACGTTCCCACATAGAGACGGAATGGAGACTGGAATACCCTCCGGCAGTGGGATTTCTTGACCCTCGTCACGTTACTATTCATCTCATGTCTGTGGAAGATACTAATAGGGCTTTATCTCGCAGTTCAAATATGATCAAGGCTAGCCTTTTCCGGCTCTTTCGCTGGACCCCAAGTTTTGAAATCGGAAAAGATTGTGCGCTAATGGCGGTATGGTTTAGAATGCCGCAATTACCTCTTCCATTATTTAATAAATCGGCACTACATCGGCTAGGATCTTCCTTCGGTACGATGCTTCGAATTGATGATAGAACGATCACACTCACTCATCCGATGTTTGCTCGGATTTGTGTGGAAGTTGATGTCTCTAAACCGCTGCCTTCTTGCATTTGGATAGAGGCGTCTAAAGAGAATGGATGGTGGCAGACATTGCAGGCAGAAGGGAATCATGCGTATTGCTCTCATTGTGGTCTACTTGGGCATATGGTTGGTTTATGTAGAAAGAAAAGAGAAAACCAGTTACAAGGTAAGAAGGAAAAACATTCGGAGAAAATCCCAACTATTCTGAAACGAACTGGGGAGGAGAGAAATAAAACAAAGGAGGATCGGCAAAGGTTTCAACAAATGGGTTTAGTCAAGAACAACAATAACAAGGAACAACAGCTACCGTCAATCGATAAAACCGATGGCTTTAATTTCGATGGCAACAACACAAAGGAAGTGGAAGCTACTGGTGGTGAATCAGGTTTACCTTCAAATCTGCCTGTGGAAATTGTATCGGAGGACGCCTTATCTCAGGAGGCGGAAGTCACTGGTAGGAGGGTTCTCCCGCATATTAACACGCATCAGAATATAGCATTCACGTCGGAAATTCTGCTTGACCAGATTATGTCGACAAAAAAGGGAGGAGGCGTACTAGAAAACAAGGTAACTAATTTGGAGACCACAGAGATTTTACACACTAGTAATACATTCCAACTGCTTGCCGTAGATGAGCGAGTTGATATAGACGATGCATCGGAAAATGAAGGCATACAGTCTGACGGGCACTATGAAGACGGAGAAGAGTTATCGTTATCACCTAAATCGGACCGTGGAGGTATGGCTTTGGTCCCAACAAAATCCAAGCGAAAGTATAATAAAAAAGTGGTAGCCCCGAGTGATCGTTTAACTCGATCTTTGGCCAGAATAACCGACTTCCCTCATAATGGTTGATATGTCTTGCATTATATGGAACGTTCGTGGGGTTTGTCAGAAACCTACGGTTGATCATCTTAAACTTATGGTTAGAAATAATAATGCCCAGGTGCTTGTTTTGCTGGAGCCAAAGGTTAGTCACAATAAGCTTCAACGATTGGCGTGGCAACTTGGTTTTCAATCGTCTTTGCATGGTGGGGAAGACAATAGATACATTTGGATAATGTGGAAAATAGGATGTACAGTTACTTTGTGTGAGACTAAAAGCCAATACATCTCGGTGGAAATGAGGCTAGCCATTGGGCAACTGTGTTACACTGCTTTTATATACGCTAGCTGCTCGTATATCACCAGAAAAGATTTGTGGAATTCGATGTCCGATTCGATTGGCAGCGGGACTGCTCCTTGGCTGATTGGAGGTGATTTTAACACGATTGCTCATGTTGAGGAAAAACGAGGTGGTCGGGTGGTGGATCCTACTGTGTTGTTTGATTTTCAAAATTTTATACTTAACAATGGGCTCATGGATGTGGGATTTGTGGGGTCGAAATTCACCTGGTGCAATAATAGAGTGGGTGCAGCTCGGGTGTGGAAACGTCTGGATAGAGTTTTGATAAATAATTCATTGCAAAGTATATTTCCTAATATGGCAGTTCGACACCTAGATAGGGTGTGTTCAGATCATGCGCCTCTATGTATTCAATTTGAGGGAGTGAAACGTAAGGCTAAAAGTCAATTTCACTTTCAGAGAATGTGGAGCGATCACCATGACTTCCATAATGTTATCAAATCTTCATGGGATACACCGGCAGAAGGATCACCAGGACAAATATTTTGCGAAAAACTGCGGCGGCTTCAACGTGTGCTTAAAGATTGGAATTGGTCGGTTTTTGGAGATCTTCAACTCAAGATTAAGGCTCTGCAAGATCAAGTTCAAAGTTTGGAAAATCAGCTGCAAGGAGCATGGGATGAGCAGACGTTTCAGAATTCCCTGGCGGCCAAAAGAGAGCTCCTACAACTAGAAGAATGGGAAGCGGAACTTCTTTGCCAGAAAGCGAGGATTGCTTGGTCTAAAGATGGTGATAGAAACACGAAATTCTATCATGCAACTATAAAAGATCGACGCCGGAAACAAAATATTACATTAACGAAGCGTGATGGTACTAGGACTCAATCTGGCAAGGAAGTGGCGGAGGTGGCAGCGGAATTTTATTCAGAGCTTTTCCGGGCTTCTGCATATTGTATTGACGAGGAGTTATTTGCTCATATTATTCCGACTGTGACTAGGGAGATGAATGCTGGATTTTGTGTTTTACCAATGGAGTTAGAGGTTAAAGAGGCAATGGAAGGTCTTAATCCGAATAGCTCTCCGGGTGAGGATGGATTTACGGGCTATTTTTATCGATCGTGTTGGAGCATTATCAAAGATGATCTAATGGCAGTGATCAAAGACTTCTACAACGGAGGTTATCTTCCATCGGGGTTCACTAAAACTCTATTAGTGCTTATTCCAAAAACTCCAACTGCTGCAGAGATTGGCGAATATCGACCTATCAGCCTTGGGAACTTTTCCGGAAAAATTATATCTAAAATTATGGCTAATAGAATGGCGGGAATTCTTCCTGGTATAATTGAGGAGGAGCAAGCTGGCTTTGTTAAAGGCCGGAGCATAACTACTCATACAGTGCTTGCCCAAGAGCTTATGGGTAACTTAAATAGATCCTCGAACGGAGGTAATATGGTGATTAAATTGGATATGGCAAAAGCTTACGATCGCTTGGAATGGAGATTTTTACTTCGAGCCATGACGACATTTGGATTTACCCACCAAGCTTGTGATCTTATATATCGTAATATTTGCAATATAGGATATGGTTTTCGAATCAATGGAGAGATTGTGGGGCATTTTCGCTCGTCGCGAGGGGTTCGGCAAGGGGACCCTTTATCTCCCATGCTTTTTATTATGGGGCAACAAATATTAACTGCCAACTTAAAGAAAGGAATCATGGGAGGTCAGATTCGTCCATACAAGATGGGGAGGAATGAGCTTGGGATCTCGCATCTTTTTTATGCCGACGACGTGCTTATTTTTACAAATGGGCACCCACAATCGGTTACCTCTCTTAAGGAGATTATCAATAAATATGAGCGGTCATCAGGACAGAAGACAAATACGGCAAAAAGTGGACTCTATCTGGGCAAAGGGGCGACTGCTTTTAAAGTTCAAGTGGAAGGCATTTTGGGAATCAAAACCAAGGATTTTCCGATAATCTATTTGGGAGTTCCAGTTTCGGTGGGACGTAACAAGGCGGTTGATTATGAATTTTTAGTTAGTAAGATCCGTATGAAACTTGAGGGTTGGAAAGCACGATTACTCTCTTTTGGCGGGAAAATTACATTGATTAAATCCGTCTTAGCTAGTATTCCAGTATACACACTCGCATGCTCATACGTTCCAAAATCCGTACTTAACCGTATTGAACAGCTCATGGCCATGTTCTTATGGAGCTCTCGTGGAGCTGCGCGATTTCATTGGGTCAAGTGGGGCAAGATATGCAAACCAGTTGAAGAAGGTGGATTGGGAATTCGAAATTTGGCCCAAGTACAGAGGTGCATGCACGGGAAACTCATGTGGATGGTTTATAAGGGGGGCACTCTCTGGTCGAAGTTTGCAAAGCAAAAATACTTTCAAAATGGCGAGCTGGTCCATAAATATTTTACATCGGCGATTTGGAAAACTATAAGTCTTCACGGCCCATAGATTGAGAATATTTCTCGGTGGATTCTAGGGAAAGGAAATATTAAATTATGGCGGGAGAATTGGCTTGGGGAACGGCTCAACTGTCCAACATTTTTAAACCACGAGATAACGGTCCGAGAAGGCTTAGATCGGCTAGAGGAACTCTTACAGTACATTCCTCCGAGCCTTAAAATAGGTGTACAACATGTGGTTCTTCGCCCGGACAAGGATGACGAGTTGATTTGCACTCTTTCCAGTTCTGGGGAGTTTTATGCGAAAGATTATTGGGAACTGCTTGCAGTTACAGGAGGGCGTCACCAGTGGGCAGAGAGGTTGTGGCAGCCATATATCCCTTTTAATTTGTCGGCCTTCTTATGGAAAGGATCCCACCACGCTCTCCCAATGGATGATCGCATAATTCAAAAAGGAATTCCCATTGCTTCGAAATGTAACTGTTGTCTAGTGCCTCGTTCGGAATCCATACAACATTTGTTACTTTCCTCAGATTGTGCCACTAAGGTGTGGAGTCACTTCTCGTATATTTTTCACACTCCTTGGAACAAGAACTTTATTGTGCTCAGCTTGCTGTTATGGTCTTACCAAACGAAGGACTATAACTCGTTTGCGGCAATTAAATTGTCGACGTGCGTATTAATAATGCATGGGATATGGAAAGCCCGGTGTAGCGCTCGGTTTGACGAAGAAATTATAAATCCTTTATCGATTATTCGGAGAATTATGCATCAATTGGAATTGGTGGCGATGCAGCTAAAACCAAAAAAAAAGAACTCCCCGCTCCAAGATAACATTCTTCAAAGTTTGAGGCTGCCGAGTGCTCCTGTGCGCGAACCGGTTCGCCGGTGGTTCCGGTGGGAGAAGCCTCCGTTAGGTCATTATAAGTTGAATGTGGACGGGTCGTCTAAGGAGGGGTTGTGTGCGGGTGGAGGAATAATCCGAGATGGTCACGGGAGATTAGTGGCTGCTTTTTCTTCCTTTTATGGCCATGGTTCGAATAATAAAGGTGAATTGTCTGCTCTCTTAGATGGATTACAGGTCTGTCAAGCCTTGCGGCTGAGTAATGTAATTATCGAGAGTGATTCTCTGATTGTAGTCAATGCTATACATGGGAGATCGTCAATTAGTTGGGACCTTACATATATGCTTCACCAATGTAGTGAAATGCTTCCGTCGGGTTACTCAATTACTCATATTGTTCGGCAAAAAAATGTTGTGGCGGATCGGCTAGCGGCTTGGGCATACAATCACATGGGTTATCAAGATTTTTTTCAAACTAGGGATCTTCCAAGCTCTGTTTGGGGTATGTTTCGTTGCAATCAGTTGGGTTTATGGGAGTTACGATAATGAAGATGGCGTGGTGGGCTGACTTTTTGATATTGCATAGCTGCCCCAGTATGAAGACTGATGTTCAAATTCAAAATCAGCTGCATGAAGTTACGTGGAGAGTTTTTTCTAGTTGGCAGAATTGCATATTAATCCCTGACCGGGGACCTTTTACAAATATCGAGACTGCTATAGGAATAGAAGTTTTTGTTTTTTTCAGTTTTACCCCATTTTGGGGCTTCATTGTAATAGACTCTATAGGGTCGTTTATGATTTTTTATTGCCATTGTAGGGGTACTCTTTTTCTCTGTGATAGGCCCACAGGGTTTTAACGAGTCCCTAAACGTTTTTATCATAAAAAAAAATAAAAAAAAATAAAAAAATAAATTATGGTTAAGTGTCTGATTTGGACTAGGAATAGTTTATTTGGTCATTTTCTTATTATAGATAAGTTAAGAGTTATTTTCGTTCTTAGATTAGGTCTGTTTGAAATTTATGAATAGGTTGTTTTAGAGTCATATTGACTTGAACATTTTTAAGCATTGAATTTGAGACATTAAAATTATGTTTCGTTGTTTTTCAACAACTCTTGCGGATGTTTTATGAGTGGATTCTTGTGAATAGTTCTTAGCGGTATAGTATTGGTTTATGATTGCTAATAATTATGGAGTCTATACTTTCACCTTAATAATATTGGTTTCTAGCTCTCTATAGCTACGGAGGCAATATTCTGACTTCCGTCAATTGAATCCTTTCTTTGGACGTCCCTTTCTTGCTTAACAAGTTCTAGAGGATTCATATCAGAAGGGAACCCCACCACTCTGTCCCCAAGACATGTCAAGGGAAAGACGAACTGATAGTCCTAGTACATCTCACTCTTACCACATCATTTAAAATACGGATACATTATTTCCTCACAATTCTGACTAACTTAATCGTTGGATTGCTAACGCCGGAAAAATCCTATTCCGACACTCCTTTTTATAGGCTCTTATACATGGGCTTTTTCTGTAGGCTTTCTTATTTTCTATTGGAAAATATATTGTATTAATTATTTATTCTTTCTAATTTAGTGTAAATCAATTAATCCTAATTAGTGTATATCAAATCCTAGAGAAAGGGGATCACACCTTTCAATCCCGTTGGATTAGTTTGACATATTGTTATAGGTTTGTGTATATAATGGGGACTGTATGTTAATGAAATAATAAGACAAAATTTCCTCCATTATTTATTCTTTCAATACCATTATACTTGTTCAATTATTTTAGATGGTATCAGTAACACACCATAACTCTTCAATTAGCCGATACATCTTTAGTTTACTCAAAAGGTATTTTAGAGAATGTACTAGTGAAAGTCAATAAATTTATCTTCCCTGTCGATTTCGTTATACTTGATATAGATGAGGATAGGGAGATACCTCTTATCGTAGGGAGACCGTTTTTAGCCACGTCGAAAACGCTAATTGATTGTGCTAGTGGTGATCTTACAATGACTGTTCATGATCAAACAATCAAATTCAATGTTTTTAGCGCTAATAAAAATCCATGTGATAATAATGATTGTTTTGCTATTGAGCTTATGGATTTTACAACTCATGAAAAGTTTGATGTTTCGATCTTGGACAATGGGAAAGCATCTTTGAGTGCAGGAGATGATGGCAGAAACAAAAATCGAAAGGAGCAAGTTTACTTCATGGACTCAATTTCAACTCCTCCGAGAGAAAATCATACGAGTTTGAGTCTTAACGGCAATGAGAGTGCAAAGAAGATGTTGCCACCCAAAGATTCGAGCAACTCACGAGAGAAGGATGAGTCAAGCTATTGTGGTCGTAAGGAGAAAATCAAAAAGGAATTGCACAAAGGACAATTGGTGTTATTGTGCAAATCCCGTCTTTGGTTATTTCCAAGGAAGCGCAAATCAAAGTGGTCGCGGCCGTGTATTGTCCAAGAAATTCTTCCTCACGAGGTGGTCAAAATAAAGGAGCGAGATTCAAATCGTACGTTCAACGTAAAACGGAGCCGGCTCAAACCGTATTGGGAAGCGAGTGAAGATTGCCAAGTGACTTCGGTCACTTTTGCTTGAAATTAAAGAAGCAACGTCCGGCTGAAGACTTTAAACTTAGCGCTTCTCGGGAGGCAACCCGAGTTTTATTGTTTTTCGTATTTTTTCTTTAATTTTTCGTTTCGTTTTTAATATCATAAGCATGCATTCTAATTTATTATTTGAATTTTACTTTTCAGGGTCGAAAACGTGATCGAGGGTCGAGTCGGCCGTCCGAAAAGAAAAAAAAAATAAAAAAAAAAAATTAATTGTGAAGCACTGTATTTGGGACGGCCGTCCCAAAATATACCCTAAAAGTGGGACGGCCGTCCCACAACCAGAAGGGAACCAGTAGCCTTTGACGGCCGTCCGAGTTATAGCCTTAAAACCGGGACGGCCGTCCCCAAACCAGTGAGGGCAGACCAATTCTCGGACGGCCGTCCGAGAATTAGGCAAAAACGTGGGACGGCCGTCCGACCTCAATAGGGGGCGTTTAAATTTTCAAAAATTAGATTTTCTCCCCCATTATTTCTTAAACCCTCCTCTTTCGTTCTCTCTAACTCCCACACACGAATTTTCGAATTTTTGAATTTCTCGTCCAAAAATTCCTCAATTTCACACACATAATTCACTCAAGCACTCTCCAATTCTTATTTTGTGTTGGTATTGACAGGGAGGCTTGAGAATCGAACCAAATTCTTCAAAATCTACTCTTTCAAGGCACGTCCACAAGGTGTTCGACAATTTGCCTCAACCAAATTTGGAGGTCGATTCTTGTCAAATTCTTACCGCATCAATTCCAAACGTTATCCCAACTATGTCGTCCAACAAAAGAGCATGAGCGTGAGAGAGCGAGGGAGGAGCACCCTACTTACATCGACTCCCACTAAATCAGGTGTTTTCTATCCTTAAACTTTGTGCTAATTTCGTTGAGGGCCACGAAAATTTTAAGTTTGGGGGTGAAAAACATGTTATTTTGTGCTTATTTGTTTTAGTTTGCATGCATTAGGTTTTAGTCATTTTTATTGTTTTTCTCGTTTTTCCGGAATATAAAAAAAAAAAAAAAAAAAAAAATTGCTTGAGTCGAATGCATCAATGATTTATGATGATGAGAGATGATCAATGTTTGATGATGAGATTGCTTGTTTTGTGTGATAAGGATTTGATGTTTGTTTAGCTTTCGATTCAACGGGACTTAGAAGCGAATTATTGCTAGGAATCACGTGGTGTGCATTGCTTTTGTTGAATGTTTTGTATTTTAAATTTGGAATTAATTTGTGCTAGATCATGCTATGTTCGGTTTTAAGACTCACCTTAGGAAATTTATGATACGAACTATTGAGTAGTGAGTGATTTGGGATATGATTTGGGCCTTCTTTGAACCGTTTGAGCCTTTCAAGCCGACCTTTTTATCGAAATTATTCCTAAGAACCTTGATTTGAGCCTCGAAGAAAAGGTGTTCTTTCTTTTAGCCATGTGTATAAGGTAGAAAAGTGGAGACTCTTGAAAAATTACCCCTTGGAGTTCGGTCGAATTTTTTTTATAAAGTCTTTCTTCTTCTTCTTCGGAAAAAAAAAAAAAAAAAAAAAAAAAAAAAAAAAAAAGAAGAAGAGACTAGAAGGGAGAAATAAGGACTAGTTGTTGAATTATTTTTGAAAGCTCGATCCATTGCCTCAAAAGCAAAAGTGGAGACTTTTGAACTTTTGAGAATCGAGTTTATTAAAGTCCGTAGAGGTGAATTCATTGTTTCAAACGCCTATCTTTCAAATTTTGGCGTAATCACCTAAATTCAAGAAGAATAGCCGCACATACCCCCATATTTCCTACCTCGAACCAAAGAGCCTAACAATTGAAAGCCACAAAGCCCCAATGATCCCAATAGCTTAATGTTCGATATTAGTAGAGTAGAATAATTTGGTGAGTATTTGGAGTCAAGCATATGCATGTAAGTATAAATTTTTTCTATCTTTAATTTTCAAATATTAGATGCTTGAAGCAATTGTATGAATTGTGGTTTTTGGTAATGGTGAGTGACTAAGTGTTGTTGAATTTTGAGCTTGCGAATGCCTAAGAATTGCCATTATAATTACAAGTTCTGAAAACGTGAAGTTGGTCATTGATCTATGTGATGAGATGTTATCGTTGAGTTATTTGCTTATTGGTAAATTTTGCTTGAGGACAAGCAAAAGTTCAAGTTTGGGGGTGTGTTAAGTGTATATTTTTACACTTTATCGTATCTTTTTATTTGAGCTTTTGGTGTGTTTTAACGATAATTGGTGCTTAAAAAGTTGATTTATTGTATTTTAGGTACAAATTGAAGAATTGGAAAAGTATGGGGTCAAAATTGCAATTTTGGCGAAAATATGGGTCAAAAGTGAAAATATCAAAATTCTGAAGATTTAAAGCTGAGACCCCCGTCCCAGTTTTAGTTCAAATTGTGAGACCCCCGTCCGAGACTCCGAAGTTGCGCAGTAAAGGAATTTTAATTGCACAAGGAAACTGCCCTCTTCACCAAGTTCTTCACCCTATATAAGACCAAGCCAAGCACACAATTAGGGATCTGTTTATGCAATTTGGAGAGCAACAAAGCAATAACGAAGACGAAGAATTCGAAGACTCTAAGCATAGATTTATCGTTTATGACTTATTTTATTTGCGTTTTTCCTTTAATCATGAGTAGCTAATTTTCTTATTTCTAGGATTTTATTTGGAACCATATGTGGGATTTATGAACCCTTTTCTATGATTTTATGCAAGTTTTAATTCCGGATTATTTCTTCTACTTGTTTTATTAAGTGCATGAACTTGATCAACTTATGTGCTTTTATGTTATTGTTAATCGCATGAATCGGAAGATCGGGTTAATAATTAGAACTGTGGTAGAAGAGCCTTTGTGTTATTAACATAGGAATATAGTTAATCTCTTAGGTAGCCATTATTGAGATTTGTGCTTAATGATGTGTTCTAGAATTAATTGCATAGGAATATAGTAATTGAATCTAGAGTATTAGAATCGTAATACACGCGAAAGCGGGTTATGATTATTTTAGCATCTCAGGTTAATAATCCGGGTTAATTGCTTGCATAATTGAAGGAATTGGGGGAGTAATAATCACATAGGGGGAAGAATAAAATCCTAGGCTTGTTTACTTTGATTAAATCTTCGTTTTTAATTGCTTTCTTGTTTTTGCTTTCTTTTTAATTTAGTTTAATTTAGTTAATTCTCTCTAAAATTCGACTGTGTAGGGTGGGCTTGATAATAATTGGTAGAATTTAGCGTCTAGGAATAGATAATTAAATATTCCATGTGGGTTCGATATCCGGACTTTTAGTCCACTATATTACTTGTACGATACGTGCACTTGCGTGTAGGTTTTCGGCCAACAAGGCGCACATCGAGCAAAGAGAACATGATCGAATGATGCAACTCCTCGATCCAAATTGGTGACAAGCAATGAATACCAAATTAGAAGCATTAGAGCTCAACAATACATGGACATTGATTCATATACCCATTGGTCAAAAACCGATCGGTTGCAAATGGGTATATAAAATTAAATACAAAGTTGATGGAACCGTCGAGCGCTATAAGGCTTGTCTAGTTGCTAAAGGATACAATCAAGTTTAAGGGGTTGACTATCTAGAAACTTTTTCTCCAACAGCCAAACTCACAACACTTCGATGTCTCATTACCGTGGCAGCAACTCGTCAATGGTACATCCACCAATTGAATGTACAAAAAGCATTTCTCCGTGGTGATTTAAATGAGGTTGTTTACATGGAACCCCCGCCAGGGCTTCGTCGACAAGGGGAGAATATTGTATGTCAACTGAACAAGACTCTTCACGGGCTTAAACAGGCATCAAGAAACTAGTTTTCCTCAATTTCAGATACTATCCGGAGGCCGATTATCAACAATCAAGGGCCGACTACTCATTATTTACCAAGGCTCGAGGTTCTTCTTTTACAGCACTTCTTATATATGTTGATGATATTCTAATTACAGGAATACATGAAATTGAGCAACTCAAAAGATTTTTTCTTAAACGTTTTCGTATCAAAGATCTTGGAAACTTGAAATACTTTCTGGGAATTGAATTCTCACGCTCCAAAAAAGGAATTTTCATGTCACAAAGAAAATACGCACTAGACATTCTTCAAGTTTAAGGACTTCTAGGTGCACGCCCCGACAATTTTCCAATGGAGCAAAATTTAAAACTCACTCCGACTGATGGAGCATTGCTAGGAGACCCCAAAAAATATAGAAGAATAGTTGGCTGATAAATTTATTTAACGGTGACAAGACTTGACATAGTCTACTCAGGTAGCACATTGAGCCAATTCATGCAAGAATCTCGAATACCTCATTGGAACCCTGCCATTCGAATACTCAAATACATCAAAGGTACCCCTGGCCAAGGATTATTACTTCCCTCCGATAAAGATTTGCTTTTGAAAGCATTTTGCGATTCAGATTGGGCAGGTTGTCGAGACACAAGAAGACCAGTCACAAATTATTGCATTTTTTTTCAGAAATTCTCTCATTTCATGGAAATTAAAGTAGCAAGCTAATGTCTCCAGATCCTCGGCTGAGGTTGAATATCGAGCTATGACTAATACATGTTTGGAACTAACTTGGTTACGATATATACTACATGATTTGAAAGTTCCTCAGACAACTCCTTCACCATTATTCTGTGACAATCAGCCCTGCATATTGCCGCAAATCCCATCTTTCGTGGACGTACGAAACACGTTGAAATAGATTGTCATATAGTACCTGAAAAAGTGCAAGCTGGAATAATTAATCTTTCTATTGTGCCCTCACATTTTCAACTGGCCTTAGGAAAGGATCACTTTGTGAAGTTGCGGAACAACTTGGTACTTCAAGACATTCACTCTCCAACTTGAGGGGGAAGAATTGGAAAATATATTGTATTAATTAGTTATCCTTCCTAATTTAGTGTAAATCAATTAATCCTAATTCGTGTAAATCAAATCCCATTGTTTATTCTTTCAATAACATTATACTTTTTCAATTATTTTAGATTTTCAGGCTCGTCCCATTCCTTTATTTTGGGTTAGCCATATAGGCAATAGTAGACACGGCCACAGGCCGGGTTTGACCCGGACGCGGCTCGGAGACCGCCCCGCCACGTTGACCATTGACTCGGACCCGACAAAGACCCGGACCCGAGTATCCGTCGGATACATCAAAGGTACCCCCGGCCAAGGATTATTACTTCCTTCCAAGAACGATTTACTTTTGAAAACATTTTGCGATTCAGATTGGGCAGGTTGTCGAGACACAAGAAGATCAGTCACAGATTATTGCATTTTTCTCAGAAATTCTCTCGTTTCATGGAAATCAATGAAGCAAGCTAATGTCTCCAGATCCTCGGCTGAGACTGAATGTCGAGCTATGACTAATACATGTTTGGAACTAACTTGGTTATGATATATACTACATGATTTGAAAGTTACTCAGACAACTCATTCACCATTATTCTGTGACAATCAACCAGCCTTGCATATTGCCGCAAATCCCATCCCGGACCCGAGGATCCGACCCAAGTACCCGTTGGATACACCCGGATTTTAATTGAAATAACACAAAACATTCTAAGTTTGGGGTTCGAACCCGGGTGGCCTGAGTGGTTTAATAGTACTAAGCAGTCGAGCAAAGTAACTTATTATTCTAATACTCCTAACCATAAATATATAAATATAACTAACGCTGTAAAATGATTATAACAATTGTATAACTAATGTTTAATAAATTATTAATTGCCATGTTCACTATTGTTAATATTAAAAATCTCCACTAATAAGAAATGCATATATATTTAATTTTGAAAAATATAAAAAATTACGATTTAATTTAAAAGAAAGATTGAATTTTGATTTTTTTGAATTTTGAAATTTTGAAAAATTTCTCAATTATTATTTTGTCTTATAAATACCTCTAATCCAATCTTCACAACTTTCATGTTATTTAGTTTATATCTCAAGGTCTTAATCGTTTCATTTTTTCAAGTTTCAATTTAAGTTTTTATTTTCATTCTTGTAATTATTTGGAAAAATACAAAAAAATTGAAAAACCGATTTGGACCCGGACCCACCCCAGACCCAGACCCGCCTCCCCATGGTTCGGTTTCGGGTCCCCTAAAAGTCGGACCCGGACCCGGCGGGTCCGACCCACCCCATGTCCGTGTCTAGGCAGTAGTCTATTTGTCCAAAAAAATTAGATAAATGATTATAATGCATGATTTCAAAATTATAGCGATATGTGGTCATATTAAATTGTAATTCATACCTATTTTAAATTTTTTTAAACATATACAAATTTATATGCTCCCAATGTTATTGTCACAATAAATCAAGGCAAGAACAATTCCAAAGACTAAAGCGACAATATTTATTAGGGATTTTTTTCGTTTAAACATCAATATTGCTCTGATTGACAGTAATATTAACTATATTACTGTTAAATACACTAAAATTAGCTATAGTACACTTTAAAACAGTAATATTGCTATAATAATCTCTAGCACAGTAATATTAACACAACAAAACTCATTATTATTGTGTAATAGAGTAATATTACTATGTTGATCGTTCAACAAATGTAAACATAATAAAAAGTCAAAAGAATTGATATTACTTTGAGTGACAGTAATATTACTATAACTACAGTAATATTACTGTCAACCACTATAGTATTACAATAATAGACAATAATATTATCACGTTACTCCGTGAATAACTCAAACAAACAAAAAAAAAAACCCAAACAAAATAATAATATTTATGTGGTTGACAGCAATATTACTATAACAACAGTAATATTGCTGTCAACCACAGTAACATTATTGTGTTTACAGTAATATTACATTAATAGACAGTAATATTATCACATTACTCCGTGAATAACTCAAACAAAACAAAAAACCCAAAAAAATAATAATATTAATTTGGTTGACAGTAATATTATTGTGTTTACAGTTATTTTACTGTCAACGACAGTAATATAATTACGTTGACTTGTCAACAAATCAAAAAAAATTATAAAAAAAAAAAAAAAAAAAAATAAATAAATAATAATAATAATAATAATAATAATAATAATAATAATAATAATAATAATAATAATAATAATAATAATAATAATAATAATAATAATAATAATAATAATAATAATAATAATAATAATAATAATAATAATAATAATAATAATAATAATAATAATAATAATAATAATAATAATAATAATAATAATAATAATAATAATAATAATAATAATAATAATAATAATAATAATAATAATAATAATAATAATAATACGTTAATCTACTATCAACGGCAGAACAATTGCATAAATGTATTGTCAACGGCAGTACAATTACGTTAATGTACTGTCATTGACAATATAATTACGTTAATTTACAGTAAGTGACATCACAATTACGGTCAACATTTAGCGGCGGACGTAAAAAAAAAAAAAAAAAAGTCAACTCCGGAAACCGGCGTAAAAATCCGGAAGAAAGAAAAAAATAAAAAATAAATAATCGAAAAGTCAATGAGGGGGATCCGGCAGCCAAAAAAAAAAGTCAAATTTTATTTTTTGTGGTCAAAATTGGATTTTTATGGACAAAATTGATTAAATTGTGATTACAATTAAGAATTGGGTATAAAGGGGTGGGGGTAATATTGTCATATACATGAATGTTTCCTTTATTTATAATAAATATTAAAGGGATGGACTTATTTGTGAAAGAGATATAACCCCTAAACCTAGAATAATAAAGATGTTTGGTTAGGAACCTATGCACAAAAACCCATATTTATTAAAGGGTGACAATTGGGTATACAAAAACACATTTTCGATCAACACCTTTTTGATTTTTTTTTCCCTTTGGAATTCGAATTCTTTTGGATTATGTTGTAGGGAAGTAAAAAAAAAAAAAATGGGAGCTTTACATTATTAGATAATTTTTAGGTGAAAGAGTTAAAAGCGGACAACAAACATAAATCCCTCCTTGTTTGCACAAAGTGAGTTTTTTTTTTCTCTCGTTTTTTATTTATATGTAGTGAGTTTATAATGTATGTTTGTATTTCTAATTGATTTTGATTCAGTAGACAACAAAAAACAAAAAAATGAAACAGCAAAATCAAATTGCAGCATTAAACATAAACTGCAAATTGCAACCGATGACAATAGACTTTGTTGCAAACTGCAAATTGATAGAATATTTTTTATAATTTTATTGTTGTTTTTTGCATTTTTATGATATGTATGATATTTTTGTTTTGTATTTTTATTTTTATTATTTTGCATTTAGATATTGCATATTATATTTTCATTTTATTGTTTGTAATTAGATGATGCTGATATTTTTACTTGTTCGGTTTGCTATTTGCTTTGGCGAATTCATAGGTAGTTTGTTGTTTTAAATTCAATAATGCAAATTTTAATTATTAGTTTGCTATTTGCATTTTACAGAGTCATGAGCGGACACGGCGGCTGCGGCAGTGCCGCATTTTTACAACCTGAGTTGTTACCGAACAACAAACAATTTCTAAACAGCAAACGGCACGAGGGTAAATTGGGAAACAACAAATCGAACGAAGATAACGGAATGAAGGCAAACTGCAAATTTTGTTGTTCCATTGAGGTAAGACTTGTGGATGGATATGGGAAAATAATTCGTCGTCTATGTGATAGAGAGTGGCCGTAAACAATTCTTGGAACCATCATCCAGTACGTTTCAATTTGATGAGATTCTTCTTCCTTGGATTCTTTATGGAAAGCGTGGATTTGTTTTGAATTCTTGTCTCGTTCATCAATCCATTTTAATCTAGCTTTTTGCTGAAGCAATCCGGATTCCCCACTTAAGATTCTGAATCAAAAATCAGCTCTAAGTTCCTGACCTTGTTCGAATATAGCATTCTACCAATTCTCCTTGAGTAATATTGGTAGCTGGATTTCCAAAAAAAAAAACTATCCAATCCCAATCCTTGAGTTCTTTCCGAAGAGGACCAAACTTTTCGGAAAATTTGTTTCCGGGAGAATCAAAACCTCGGAACCACTTCATAAAATCCAACACGATCAGTCCACATGCGTTGAAACGTAAAATGCCTAGGGACTACTCCGGAGAATTAACATCGATTAGGAGATGCCTAATGCGAGCGAAATGGTGAGCCCTGACATTATGTATAGCCGCAAAGCTGTCCCGGCCCCCATTAAGTAAAACCCGGTCGAGCCTCGCTCTCCCAAATTCTATATGAGCCGTGACGATTATTACTCCAAGTAAAACGGTTACCAATATACACCGCATTAGAGAGGCCGGCCTCTATAAGAAGTTGATTAAAATCATGAATTCCAAGTAAATTAGAAGTTCCTCCGCCTCTTTTCTCTGATGCATTAGCAATAAATTAGGACTTCCATACGGTCAGCTCTACTGCAACTTGCATCAACAAAAGTAAATTTACTGGTGAAAGTCGGGAAAATTACATTTTTTCGTATCTCATGCTTCACCCGATTCCACTTTTGGTCCCTTTGTTTCAAATTGAACAAAATACACTTCAAAAAGTTTAATTTTAATCACATTTGGTCCCCTCCGTCACATGAGCGTTAGATGTTAACTAAAAACACTATTTTGGGGCTAAAATTAAAATTTAATATTGTTTTGGGCTAAAAACAATTAAAAATATAATTTAAATTACTAATTACAATTATTTTTTGATTTCTTTTTTCTAATGTATTTATACATATTATATATTTTTTGCATTTATTTGTTAAAATTAAAATATTATTCAATTTTTTCCTAATGTATTTATATTTTTAATATATATTTTTTGCATTTATTTATTAAAATTAAAATATTATTCAATTTTTTTTCTAATGGATATATTTTTAATATATATTTTTTGCATTTTTTTTTGTGAAAATTAAATATTATTCAATTTTTTTTATTTATACTTAATATTATTAAAAAAAATTATAATTGGTACTTTAAATTTTTTTATTGTTTTTAGCCCCAAAACAATCTTAAATTTCAAGTTTAACCCCAAATAGTGTTTTATGTTAGCATCTAACGCTCATGTGACATAGTGGACTAAATGTGGTTAAAATTGAACTTTTGAGGTGTATTTTTTTCACTTTAGGACAACGGGCAAAACTGAATTCGAGTGAAACATGAGGGATGAAAAGTGGAATTCTCCCGGTGAAAGTCCGTTGAATAGTAACGTCTACAGTAACACTTGATGGCCTCGTAAGACTAGTCAAAGATAAAATTAAATAATTAATCTAGCGAAATTCAATTGTATTATTGGACCAACATGCCTAAAATGCAATATAAACTGTGATAACATAATATTTGCAGGTCGACCCAATAGGTTATTCGGGATATCAAACATCAAACAAAGTCCAAACATTTAGTTAATAATGACTAATTTCTCTAATCAAACGACGCCAATATATATAAAAATTGGGGTATGCTAAATCCCACACTAAAATTTACTAAATCCCGCACATAAATTATTTTTTTTTTCTCTACTCATATTCTCTCTAACTCCTCGCTAAGATGATTTTATCCAAGTCACTCAAAATTCATTATTTTTTTACGTGAATAATCGTAAAAAATGAGTTCAGTTTTAATTATATTTATTCAATTTTATTAAGCCTATTTAATTATTCAAATTCATATCAATTTGATTTTTTTCCTCAAATTCCAACTTTATTTTAGTTTGAACATGTGAAGATTTTTGTCAAATTCGAACTTGAAATGCTAGGGACGTTTGTAGTGTGTGATTTTGTGAAAGAAATAGGGAAAAAGAAGGGTGGGGGAAGGAGAAGAGAAGATTTAGAGAGAAAAATATTTTTAGTTTTGTGCATGATTTAGTAAAATTAGTGCAGGATTTAACATTTCAAATAAAAATTAATGTGGTTAGTGATAATATAATGATAGCATTCACCCTCTTGCAATTATTTTATATTATTCAGTAGCTTAAAAACAACTCCATGTTTAATTATTTTAGAACTTAGGGAACAAACTTGAATACAATCATAGGTTTTTTTTTTCACGTTTAAAACATGTCTCACTATTTTATGTTTACTTAGAAATCACACAAATAGAGTTATGTATTTGATATGTTGTATATGTCATTCATTGCAGCCTAAAGAAATATCAAATAGTGCATGCGCGCGAATTATTGATTTGCCTTAAATAATAATGATCGTGGAATATAATATAAGCTCTTTAAAGTATATATATCTAGCTTAAAATGATTAATCAATAATTAATTTAAGATTGGAGGTCAAAAGCTAACTGCAGAAATAAGATGTAAGGAGTTTGTAAGATTTGTTATAAAATTATTCCATACTTAAAAATAGGGATTGAAGAGCGCTCCTTCATTCGATTAGATGACTATAGAGTATAGAGTGCAAAAGTATTATCGGTCCCCCTTCGTAATTTTTTTTTAATGCATTCGGCCCTAGATTTAATGTTCTGACTCTGCTAATGCATGCATGTATAGTTCTATTTTGAAATAAAAAGTTTTGCTTAGAAGATAACGCTAGAAGACAAATAGCTGTGAAATAAACCTCTTGAACGTGAATTTGAAACGTACGTTTAGGGTGCATTTGGATGGAGGGATTTGGGGAGGGATTTGATTTGGGGAATGGATTTGAAATGACTCCAATTTTGGAGTCATTTGAAATCCATCACTATTGCTCCAAAATCAACTAAAAGGGAGGGGTGGGAATTTGAAATCCATCTCCAAATCCCTCAATCCAAACAAGTCCGAGGGATTTGTTATTATGGATTTGAAATCCCTCCCCCAAATCCCTCCATCCAAATGCACCATTATAGACTAGCAAGTGAACACATCGGTATTCATATGAAAGACAATCTACATGAAAAAAAGATTGTTACTCAAAATCAGTATGTCGAAAATGCGGATAACTAAGTTAAGAAAGTGTTTCTTGAATTCTTAATATGATGTAATATATTGATTAAGTCAATAAATTTCTTCTAATTTTAATGTATGCATCATATAATTTTGTATAACATGCTATTTGTTGAATTTTGAATGCCTATGGATATCCACTCATCTGTTGAGACATACTACATGTTACGACATTAGGTGACGTAACAGAATTGTTGTGTTGTCACAGTAATAAATCTACGAAAAGCAGAATAAAGAACACAACAATTTAATGTGGTTCGGATACAAATGTACCCTACATCCACGAGGACTTGCAAAACTAGTTCAGATTTAAGTGTACATTAATAGGACTTAATAAAACACTAAAGACTCCCTCTTTATGTGATACGCCGTTCTTGCACACGACTCGAACTTGTTGATAATCAAAGCAATTCCTCCTCCGCACTCTTGGACTTCCTCCAATGTTGAACTTCCTTCAAACGGCGGATCGACCTCTCCCGAGATCTTTTAAGCACTTCTCCCGAAACGCCGATCTTCTTTATGGCCTGGTAGAAGAAACCTGTTCTGTTGCCACACCTGCCGTGCAGACAGGGCTGCAGCACGGGCTGCACCCTTCAAAGCCTTTATGCTGGGATTTTTCTTATTAAAGCTCCATCGGACTCATATGAGGTTGAGGGCCTTATATAGGCACGAAATCACCACCCTAAACCTAACTTGGGCCCTAAGAAATCGATTTAACTAGGTAATAGAATCCTAGTCGATTTCTACTTCTATTCTAGATAAGTACAAAAGATACCTAACTAGAATATAATACATGGAAATAAATCTAAGTCCTAATAAAAATATTACAAGAATAGGACTCTAATTAATTCCAAAATAAACATGGAAAACAAATCTTTGCCAATCTTTAGCTTCCACGTATGGCGGATTTCTTCAATCTTCACAAATAGAAATCTGGTGCCAACAATCTCCCCCTTTGGCATAGATTGGCTAGAATCCATGTTTAACAAGAACTCCCCCTGCAGATGAGATTTACTCCCCCTGCAACAAAGATGTCACTTTTCTTCACCCGTCTTGGTCTTCTATCAGATTGTCCCATCACGGGGCACGTTACAACGCAGCGGAATTGGGTGAATGTCGTGACAGACTTCAGTCTCAACCTTCCTTGTGAACACATGTCATCCAATAAGCAAAGCAAACAAATCAAAACCCAAAATCGGACACTAAGTATATCTAGTGACCCGCTCTGATACCAATTGTTGAATTTTGAATGCCTATGGATATCCACTCATCTGTTGAGACATACTACATGTTACGACATTAGGTGACGTAACAGAATTGTTGTGTTGTCACAGTAATAAATCTACGAAAAGCAGAATAAAGAACACAACAATTTAATGTGGTTCGGATACAAATGTACCCTACATCCACGAGGACTTGCAAAACTAGTTCAGATTTAAGTGTACATTAATAGGACTTAATAAAACACTAAAGACTCCCTCTTTATGTGATACGCCGTTCTTGCACACGACTCGAACTTGTTGATAATCAAAGCAATTCCTCCTCCGCACTCTTGGACTTCCTCCAATGTTGAACTTCCTTCAAACGGCGGATCGACCTCTCCCGAGATCTTTTAAGCACTTCTCCCGAAACGCCGATCTTCTTTATGGCCTGGTAGAAGAAACCTGTTCTGTTGCCACACCTGCCGTGCAGACAGGGCTGCAGCACGGGCTGCACCCTTCAAAGCCTTTATGCTGGGATTTTTCTTATTAAAGCTCCATCGGACTCATATGAGGTTGAGGGCCTTATATAGGCACGAAATCACCACCCTAAACCTAACTTGGGCCCTAAGAAATCGATTTAACTAGGTAATAGAATCCTAGTCGATTTCTACTTCTATTCTAGATAAGTACAAAAGATACCTAACTAGAATATAATACATGGAAATAAATCTAAGTCCTAATAAAAATATTACAAGAATAGGACTCTAATTAATTCCAAAATAAACATGGAAAACAAATCTTTGCCAATCTTTAGCTTCCACGTATGGCGGATTTCTTCAATCTTCACAAATAGAAATCTGGTGCCAACACTATTATATTTCAATATCATATTCATATTCAACTTATAGAAGTAGAAAATTAATGGGAGAGGGTAAATGAGTGATAACCCCCTAGTTTTGAAAATTAATGGGAGAGGGTAAATGACGAGGTCCAATTGATTTTTTTGTCCTAGTCAAAAACAAAAATTTTGATCTTAATTTGGTAGACCCCCTAGCACACTTGAAGTACATATTGTGCCC